GTTCTAACGTTGATCTTGGAGTTAGTTAGCTTATCACATTTCTATACACACACTCTCGTGAATACCGAACACAGAACAGATGTAAACTAAGAAAAATTATCTGAATTATCGAACGCATGCCCAGCAAAGTGAGCTAATCGATCAATCATATATGTATCAAACGAACGCACCTATGGAAAGTAATACAAAAAGGGCAGAAGTTGAGATTGGCTCCAAAGTGATACGGATTAGAAACTTTACCAAGAATAGGTTTGCACGCGTTATTGTCATTGTTCAAATATCACACCCTGAGAAGTAATTTCGATGAAACGATGACTTTATTTGCTCTCTCAATTCGCCAGTGTTATTGATTTAATTTATTGATATTCATTTCACATTTACCACTAACTTGATAAATCTGTTTCAACAGGAACGTTTGTTACTATTTTTGAACATTGCATATGAGTTTGTATTTAGTACCTTTTATTTATGGATTGTTAGTAGATACGCGGTGAATATGTTTGAAATGATTTTTCCACATTTACCTGTGAAGATAACTTTGATATCATATTAAGGTCAGATAAGAATGGGAGATAAAAATGGATTGTTTGTGGAAGGTATTTGTCATACGGAGTATCACACATGAAACAAGTAACGAACTTTCTCAAAACATTTTGTGAAATTCACTTTTTAGTTATCGTTTATAATGTATATGATTATTAAAGCAGAGTTTCTGAGAATTGTGTTCTATCAAATTTTCATTTAAGGTTTTTTCATTTAATAGTTGAAGGTTTTTTTTTTAATAAATGAAACTGAAGAAAAGCTTAAAGAGTGCAACGCGTATACATTATTTTGATGTTTTTATTGCTAAATCAAAATTTCTAGAACACGAAACAATTTCAGAAAATGTTTTCTTCCAAACATCATTTGCTTTTTAAATAAAGAAGCAGATATATTTGACACTTGGTGGTAGTAAATGAATCAGGAATGAGTTTTAATACACCGATTGTCATCAAAAGATGATGCTTATTTGCAGAAGTTTTCGAAAATGAAAGTAGCATTCGAAGCATTTTTTGTGAAAATCAAATGACATAATCAGAAAATCACACACAACTTAGATATTCTGTGCATCGTTTCAACACTCAGAACTTACATATTTGAGGAAAGAACTCAATTATAGTTATTTAATTCAAAGGCTGCATAAAAAAATAAGTTGGCACCGGCGTATTGTGACTTGAAAAAAATGTTGTGCTGAGTAGAAAACGATGGGAACCGTTGCAATGACTGAAAAATGAAATGGTTGTTCCATTTATTTTCATTTGCTATTACGGACAAATACTATACATTGTTCATCTGGAACTATAAATGTTAACTTTTTCATATTTATAAGGATAACGAATATATCGAGCAAGTTAAACTGTTGGGATACCCGATATAAAACTTTTAAACCGATGTCTGTCGTGAAAGTTGATTTTGTGTAAAAGTTCTATCGTAGTTTAATCACATCATGTCCGAGCCTTAATCGTTCATCAGTACTAGGAGGAGTCCTCTTTACAGAGGAATAAACCCATCTTCATCACCCGTTTCGATTGCATTTCAGCACCCTTCAACCTGTTTGCTAGAGAGCCTCAAAATATCTTCATTTTTAAAATATTGACTCAGTTCTGCACTTCTTTTGCTACACAAAACAAGCATTTGTTTCGAAGTGCTTTGGGTTGGGTGTTGGATTTAGTTCATCTTGTATAACACCTTGGCCGCACAAATCCATGATGCATCACATGTTACAATCCTATCCACGTATTTTACAGCACCTCAATTGTGTTTCCTAATCATTTGTTTGCACTAACCGACACGAGCATACTTTTGAGATTTTGTCTGATATAGTATCCAACGTAAACAGACTTTTTCACGAATGAATATTCATATTCGTATTCTTTATGAGCTAGTGAAACTTTTACCAAAATGTCAAATGACGATCTTGAATTATTATTTTTTCTGACAAAACATCTTCTACAGCGACCATTCATAGCGTTTCACATTGACAAAGAATGGTTCTTTATCAACAAAAGTTGAAGTTGATTGATGCATTCCTGCCTTGATAAATAATCCATATCTCTCTCTCTCTCTCCCTTTGTATAGCCGTTGCTTCCCTCTCGGTCGCATTTGGCGAGTTTCCTGCTGTCAACAGTTGACAGGAGTTTTCGTGGGGGGCGCAGCGGTCTTGCTCGAGGCAATGCTGCCACCCCTCAGTTTCGTCACTCATTTTTTGTTAATTCAAAAACGTTAGCTGTTTTTTACACATGCATTCCCCCTTTACTTGGTTATCCGAACCACCCGGCCTGGATACCGGCGTGAATAAAGGATGCCCTCATACGTAGTACGTTCACTTCACACACACAGGTTATTTTCATGTCAGACAATCAGTACACAAAAACAAATTCCGCGATGGCACATGTTATCCACGGAACTCGATAATCCACGTCGAAACTAAAAATTATAACACAAATCTCGTCCAAATAACAAAACATTTGGAGGAAGGTTATTACCAAGTGCTGCTAAGGGTCAAAATATGAGTAGTGACTATATATATACACGATGTTCCAACGCTTTGAGACTCTCTATGGCCACTCGAGGCACTTGAATGTAAAATCTATCTCGTAGGGTTCACCCAGCCTTTGTAATGTGAGCGCAAAAAAAAGTGTTCATTTACGACATCACATTATAAACCTTCAAAATTATCGGGGTTTCTCTACTATATTATGCATGTTATATACATATAAACCTTCCTCTTGAATCACTGTATCTATTAAAAACACGCATCAAAATCCGTTGCGTAGTTTTAAAGTTCTAAGCATACCTAGGGGCAGACAGCAGCAAGCACCTTTGTTTTATACTATTTGGTGACAAGGAATATGATGAAAATACTTTTTCTGCACACGAGAACACACTTTCTTTGGACGCGCATTTCGCTAAATTACAGAAGTTTGTGGAGATCAAATCGTGAGGTGCAGTTTATGAAATTTTTATTTTTCATTGAATCATCTATATGTATATCCTTCCGCCACAGATGATGACTTCCACCCTCCATGCCTCTTTAAAGCAGTGATGTCGCTACCTGCATCCACTAGCAGGGTGGCAGATGATTCTTCGAAACTTTGAAAAATGTTGCGATCTTTGATTGGTGCATTTACCTTTCTGATGATTCACATAAAATTAATATTTCAATTCATTACTCGATAAAGCTCGATATATTCAATACAAATTTGATAAGAATGCTTGGTTATCGAACTATTTTTGTTTTGGTGTTCGGTATAGTGACCTATCGAAGATCTTTCAAGTTCCCTATTTGCACCGAGTCCAGTTCATTTGTACGACAAGCTCCCGTTATTCCCATGATCAATGCAAACTAAAATAAACATTGAAAAATATTTTCTATTTCTGTTATTTTATTCATGTCAAATAGTTTGAAAATTGTGTGGTTCAAAAAATAAAGCTACTAGCCTTTTGATTTGAATCTAGGACGCTGACATATCTAGTGACAAAAAATCAGTTTCTTACGTTTGGCGCAAGGTGTAATTCGTCAGGTGCTTCGTTTATAAATGATTTTATTTCATCTGAGGTGAGATTTCCCGTCTTTCTTTATATATCAACGTCATGGTGGATGAGAACTGTACTTCTTAACACTGAATGTTGTGTCCAAAGAGAAGATGATTATATTTTTCAGCTTTTTCGAAAAAATATGGTAGAAATACATTTTCCGAATGTGATCGAAACACGTGTCGAGGTGTAAAAATAACGATTTGGTGGTGGGAAAAAACTCCAGTAATATTCAAGCATTATCTCTTCAGTGACTAAGTTTGACGTTTAAGAACAATTCTGAAGACTCACTTTGCGAATGAAAATAATACAAACATAACTGTTAAGTTATGAATTTGCTCATCCGTGATTGGCCTTGAGGTAGTGAGTTATGAACCCAATCAACTTTGGTTAGTTCAAAGATGTGAGTTATGCGTCAATTTGGCTACTAATTCAACATGAAACGGTCACATAATTGACTTTTTTTTCAATAGTCATAGAAAAAATGTGTGTGTAAAAAAGAAGACCAATATGGTCATTATAGATTGACGTTCGGAAATACCTCGTCACCAAGTAATTTGCGGAAGGATATGACGGAATCTTCTTCCGATTGTCACAAACATATTCCACCTTGTACGACCTCAACGGACAGTAGCGTTAATCGTTTGAAACATGCCGTGGACATGTGGAATATTATTCAAATTAATCTCCAGTATTTAATTAACTCTACATATAATTCTCGCATGGAAAATGAGTCACTTTTCCGAAAGGAGGCGTAGCGAATTGATTAATCTGCCATGACCCAATATTAAAAAAATGAGGCTGATACCTTCATAACTCCAACTGTAAACGTCATATGGATAGTTACCTGCGAAAATAGCTTCCTACATAACGATATCAAGAACGACAAGCGCGCACACACACACAATATATCATATAACAATCTAGCTTTGACCTTGTACAAGTTCGTATTTATCTTTTTCATTAAATAAAATAACAGCAGTCGGCGAGCTCAAATCGCTTCGATTACCTAAAAAAATATTATCGCCTATCAGATTTTCTGTCGATCGCTGTGCGCAAGTCGTGCGATAACAAGTGAGATCGGGTGCATTTTTTAATTGACATTAGTGTCGCGTTAGAACCGTCGCTTTTTTCCCAGCCGCAAAAAGGATGTAATTACGCAATCCTAAACTGTGTATAATTCAAGGAAAGACAACCGGTCATAATTGAAAATGTTTTGTTTTACCGATATGTTCGTTGCAATGATCCCTCCTAGCTTATCAACAGGTAAATAAGTGTTGAAAAAGTGCCTGCTCAAAATAATGTGGTGTCCTCGTTACATGTTGTGTGTATGTGTCTGTCACGCTTTCCTGCTTGGGTCCTGCTGCGCTGGGATTGCTTCAGATCACACTCTTTCAATATAAAACCGTTCTTTGTTCAAACAGAACTGAAGGATGTGCGACGATCCTCCCAACGAAGATAGAAGCGGTTCCCCAAGAGATAATAATGGTTGGACTGCCGATCGATACGACATCGGTGTCAGAATTCTGAGGGACCGAAGAAACCAAATTACAAACGCTGGCAAGTACTCTGAAAGGTATAAAGACGCGTTTTCTCACGACATTCCTGACGACAAAAAATACCCGCTGAGTGCGCAGTGCCGCGACACGATGGAACTATATCGTAAAGTGTCCAAAGGTGAAAAAGATGGATCTCTTCCTAGGCAACTCACTACTGAGAAGATGAAACTTACAACCAATTGGAAATCCAACGCCACTAATGATTTGAACAAGCAGGAGAATGCCTTAGTGGGTTACAAGCTGGTACCAGAAGGCACCCACAAGCCTGTTCTCGTGACGACCCCTAATAGTGCCCCAAAAACTCCAAAGTGGACTAGAAAGAATGTTAATATTTATAGTGTCACCCCTACCGGTTCTAATACGCCCCCAAACAGCCCCACTGGTATACCTGCTGGCTTGTCTGCAAAACCCGTTGCTTTGAGCAACATCCTCAATGGACCCAGTAGCAACAATATTACTGAAAATACCTGGTCTCATTTGGAAAACGTCGAGACCATTATAACCAAATTGCACAAGAAGGAAAAACACGAAGAGAACCTCAAAAAGTTCGAAGAAATGTTGAAAAAATATACTCCCAAGCCCGCTGGTAAGGCCAAGCTGTCCCCTGTGAACCCTCTAGAGCTGATCGTCAAAAAGTCGCCGGATGTTAAACCCTTGGACAAGTCTGACAACCATCTCAAGTCCCAAGAACACATCTTGGATCCTATAAAGCATTCCAGCGAAGTGGAGGATTTGCCTGCAAGGGGCTTGATCGAAGCCGAAAGAGAGGAACACCAACATTTCAACAGAGACGTGAAGGAGAGAAAAAGTATGGAGAATTCTTCCAAAGAACACAAGCCCAAGACTGGAGCCAGTCTAAACAGAACTGTTTCCGATGCACATGAAAAGAATACTACCGTGAAACGGCAGTCTAGAGTGTCTAGGGATCGTGGACGTAAAGTAAGTTTTTTGTTTGTGCTGTGAGTTGAACGGATTACTGATCTGTTAAAAATAGATAACAATGGGTCTTATCGCGAGGACGCGATAATGAAATCCTTTTGTTTCATTATATCTGTGACTGAGCTTGATATGATCTCACGTTCTGTTAGCATATGAATTACTTGAAAAATCAAACAGGTCATTCATGAATTCCATTTTTTTAAACAACTTTCATTTTTAATATGAATATGAAATATCTCAATTCTCATTCATTTTTTGAACAAAAAATTAAAGTGAGCGTCATAGTTACCTGTAAACTATGATATAGATACAAAAAGTAATTCTTGTGGTTTTCCTATTTAGACAGGGGTGGAAGGGCACACTTCTAACCGATAAGTTATTGCGTAAAAACCAATACACTTTTCTCAAGGAAAAATACTCATTTATCAGTATATAACCATCATAAAGTCGTTGGAATCAGTAGAAAACGTTAATAATATGCAACGCAGACATATGCAAAAAAATGTACACCGATTCTTTCAGCTTAGCCCTTTTAGTGAGCGGTTTATAGACGACCTTCTTCGTCTTTATTCCCTTCCACATATATTCTAGTACTGATCCTGTCAACTTTTATTCTTTTCAGTTAGTGTAGCAATATTAGCCAGTCTTCCAGCGCGTACGTGCTGGAAGTATCTTTGGTTACATTACTCTATTTCTAAAATAAAATACAGCCTATGTTACTCGCTGATAGTGTAACTGTCTATACGAGTAAATGGCAGAATTTTCAAAATCTGTTAGATTGTGTTTGAGTTTCTCTATTACAAACAAATCGTTGCTTTTTATATTAGTTTAGATTATTTCATAACTTGATAAGACATATTTTTTATCAAATTTAATGTTACGTTTTTCTCTGTTGGTTCACCTATAATTGACTACACTGAATAATCAAACTTACTTTATTTCACTTTAAATAAAACAAACCCTTCAATTAAAACTTCAACTATTATTCGAATCTATATCGCCTTGCTAGAAAACTTCGCGTACCGCACTGTAACTTCCACTTGACTGTGTCGATATGATCGTGGCTAGCGTTTATATATCGTACTCGAATGCAGTAGAAATTTTGCCGGAATTGCGTCGAAGTTAGTAGCATTATCCTCGCTGTTTCTAGAGTGGTGGTACGTACAACGATGTACGAATAAGTTTAACAATGAAATAGAAAAACTAGATGAACTTTGCAACAACAAAGACGAATTTATGGAGGTGCATTCATTTCTTTTTCTGATAACAGGCCAATACGGGTATTTTCTGGGCAAGATATGACATTGAGGTCTCGTATTCATCAAAATTGTGATATTTGAATGTTTCGTTCGAATCGATAGAGCGAAAATTTCGAAAACTTGGAAAAAAGTCGAAGTGGCAGTAGGAGAGTCAAATTTGACAGGTTTAGAGTAGTACATAAGAAAAGGAATGAGGCTGGTTTTTTACTCATTTTTCAAGCAAGCGCAAACTAACTGCGAAGTAAAATTTTCATTATATCTATTAATAAAAAAAACTTCCCTACGTCGCGAACTTTATGTGTGACACTATATAATGGAGGCGGGGTTCCGGGAGTTGGGACTTTTCTATTGTAAATTTTCTCCTCTTTCAGAATCATTTATGGTTGTTTCCTAATTTTTGATAGTTTTTGAGTAACTAACGAAAAACTGATTTCATTCCATTTGTTTAGGAGTTTTATTTATTTTGAACATGAATTTCAACTAGATTAGTTGGTTCATAGATAATAATGTTTGTTCTTCATATAATAATGTGTAAAGGCCAGTGTTCAGAAACTAACGCACTGAAAAGATTCAATCTCATAAACACGCAAACTACTCCTTTTCATCACTTCTAAATATTTCAGATTCGTTAGAAGGAATTTGTCAACATATTGATTTTATGCATACTTTCGAACTGTTGGCGCAACTCATCTTTCCATATTTATTAGAGAGTAAATGCTAGGGTAGCGTTTTATCTATAGATAATGTACTTGAAATTTTACGCTTTTGTCAGTCTGGAATATCATTCATTGTTGAATTATTCAGAGTTCGTTTCAATTTTGGAGTTAGCTGTTAACCTGAAATAATTGTCTTAATTGAAATAGCTCCATAAGAAATAAAATACTTCATGTGGTATTTGAATTGATATCAGTCAGAAAACATGAAAATGATATACTGTACCAAATCAACCCTTGACTGTTAGTGATTGATAATACGAAAAACAGCTGCAGCACCCTTGGGCTTCGGCTCCACAAGGGATTCTCCTTTTATTTCATATTTCTGCCACTGGAGGTAATGATGTTTATGTTAAAGAGTTCACACGTGCTATCCCAGACGCCTTTCTGGTAGTGCACGCAAGAATTAATCACAGAGAAGAACCCTTTCCAAGACAAGTATCGTCATCAAATCCTAGAGATCTAGTCATTAGAACTGTCGGGAAAGAACAAATTTCTCAACATACCCTCTATACTCTTCTCGTTATCTCAATGTCAAGATTTCTTCAATACTTCTTCATTGAGGAAACATCTATCTGTCTTTAGAAGTAAAACGATATTTCTGATGAAGATGTGATGGTTCGTGGTAAGATGAATATGGTCCGCCGTCTCGTCTTTCTAACCTCATTATATTTGACTTGACAAATAACAGCAGAGGTCGATCAAATTCATGAGTCACTCATTTTCAGTTTCAGTCTATTCAGTGCATTCGATTCTCGGAGCCATTGATCTTTCACTCCGCAGGTATAGGGTAGGTAGGTAGGTCTAAAGTGAGTGGGTCTATTCGACCCTCCACCGCAACCCATAACAGTTTATTGTGGCTCACACCTATTCACACTCGGCCAAATGAACCCAGCTTCTTAATGAAGCCGATTAGTTTGTATGGTGAGTAGTCTTTCAGGTCAGATGGTGAGAGAACGGATCTGCCGAACTCAAAAGAACCTGATTCTGTTCCCAGCGGGGTAGGCACAAAGTATATGCTTTGCTGTTTCATCCTTTTCCAGACAGAGACGGCACACACTGTCTTCTAGTGTTCTGTTCGCGCTTCGCCCATTTTGCGGTCGCCATAATCGTCCTACCGAGAGGACTATTTGCAATGTGGTGGATGAATTTGAGAACACTGGTTCAGTAAACGATCGACCAACACCCGTACGTCGAAGAAACGCAAGATCTACCGAAAACATCGCCGCTGTCTGTGAAAGTGTGCAGGAGAAGCCGAGGCAGTTGATTTGAACTGAAGGTGAACGCATATTTTTTGCTGGTTATCGTTTTATCTTGAAATCCTTTTCTGTCTACTATTAAAATTACCAGGGTGTTATTATCAGAAATATAACTAGGATAGGTTAGATCCAAAGTGAGTGGGTCTATTCGACCATCCACCGTAACCCGCAAGGGTTCATTGTGGTTCATACCTATTCACACTCGACCAAATAAACCCAGCTTCTTAACGAAGCCGATTAGTTTGTATGGTGAGTGGTCTTTTAGGTCAGATGGTAAAAACCTGATTCGGTCCCCAGCGGGGCAGGCACAAAGTATGCAACACACACTGTCTTCCGACAGTCCGAGTCTCTGCATATGATGATTCAAATGACAGTGACATGTAAGAAGGCCTGTTAAACATAGTAGTTCATCCCTACTGTAGTCCAACAACTGTTTGGTATCAAGCTTCGAAGTGTGAATAAACGCCTTAGAGTGAGCCAATCCTGAAAGATTCTGCCAGAAGTCCATAAATCTTCTTGTCATCCAGGTGTTCAATATTTGTTTGGCAAAGCCTGAAGCGATGCCAATGACAGGTTCTGGTCCGATGAAGCTGCTTGCAGCATCTTCCTTTGCAAAGCAGTCAGCAGCCTCATTGCCTTCCAGGCCAGTATGGCCAGGAATCCAGACCAGAGACAATCTGTTAAGTCTTCCTATCGAGGATAGAGTCGTTTTTGGCAATTTGCTACCAATTTAGACGTTGCTCTGGAGGAGCCAAGAGCTTCCATCGCCGCTTGACTGTCCGAGATTATTTTTATTGACTCGTGTATGAGGTTGGAATCTTCTAATCTCTCCGCACACAATTCAATAGCGTAAATTTCCGCTTGAAATACAGCCACATAGGTTCCTAGGCAAGTTGATATCTCTGTCCTGGGTCTGCGACTGAAAACACCTGCACCAGAACCGGAAGTTGTTTTTGATCCATCTGTGAACCAACAACTATATAACTAAGTAGTTTCTTGGAAGGATGTAAAAAAAATGTACATCCGATAAAAATGTATATGTTTTAGTGATGAGACCCCATTAACTCTACTGAGTAGAATGGTGTTTGATAAGATAAACACAATTGTCGTTGCTTTGTTCACTTTCTGCCATTGCGTGGCAGCCACGATTACCAACTTCTCTCGAGTTAATCGTCTAAAACTTTCAAAAAGTTTTAAAAATTCAGGAATATATAATCCATAACTAACTGGTTCAACCAACAAATTTGTTTAACTATTGGGAACAATAAATTTGTCGCGTTCAAATTAATAAAATTATAGATAATTACTAAATATCCAGATGAAAACTCGGCCCCGGATTTGGACATAGGTCCGGAAATAATGCATCTATCGCTATTCTTTCTGTGTTAAGCCTATTTAAAAAACTAAGGTGCTTTACTTTTTTCATAAACTACACCTTACGATTTGAACTCCACAATCTATATTTAAAGAAATCTATCACATGTTTCGCTAACACGAAAGTACCTTAATTAACTACGAAAAAGTTACTGTGTAAGCGAAACATGTCTTGACATAGTTTTTTTAAATTAAGTTTGGTAATTCACTACGAAAAAGCAGAGATCAATTTTTCAGAAAAAAGATTTTCGGTTTTATACTTTTCCATCAATGAACAAAAAATATGAAAAGAAGATATGAGACAAATCCACAATAATCTCAACCAATATCTATAAGTGTTCATCAAAGACGTAAATAAATTATTACTTTCTGTTGTCCGATATCCCTCACCTAATTCAAAACTAGCTTGATTTTTAACGAGTTCGATATTTCGTTGACCTTTGGAGATGTTTTTTGTGTGCCTGCTTTATCTACACATTAGTCATATCTACACACTTATCGCTGTTCGAGAACAAATAATTACAACCTGGGTACGATTCTTGTACAGGAAAACATCGCAGATCCAAATTGATAAATATATGTACACATAATCATATATTGCTGGAAATATAAATGAACAATACTTGGAATTTTACCTGGAGCGTATGGAAGTACTTACGTTCACATTGGGTACTGTGGTTTTGATATGTCTATTACTTTTTCCGCAACAATTCTGACTTTATAAGAAACGTTTTGAAAAATCTAACCTCGATTTTTTTTTCAGACAAATGACAGCGCAGTGGAATCGACGCGGAGCGGTTCGGCATCTACACGGAACAGGCCGAGGCTGGGAGAGGAACCGACAATTGGTAAATACAAATTACTTAAGACCATCGGCAAAGGAAACTTTGCAAAGGTCAAGCTGGCCAAGCACGTACCCACTGGTAAGGAAGTTGCCATCAAAATAATAGACAAGACTCAACTAACACCTGGTTCGCTACAGAAACTATTTAGAGAAGTGAGTATTAGTAGGGTTTATTTATTTATTTATTATCAAATATTTCACTTGTTGAAAGGTACAATGGAAAATAGATGAAAAAACATATCTTCCAATATACAATAACAAGGAAAACGTCAGCTTAATAAAAGAAAAAACTATTTACATTTACAAATGATTTGCCAAATGAAAAAGAAACACAAAATAACATGGAGAGGAATAAAATCATCTATATAATTCATCCAAGGAGTAGCAATTTTTTTCATTAGATCCTTGAGGGACACCTTGCTCTATTTTCCGTGGTTTACTCACAGTGTCGTCAACAATCACTCGTTGAATTCTGCCATGCAGATATGATTTAATTAACTTGTGGGCAGTCCCTCTCACGCCATATCGTTCCAATTTCTGTAGCAGTAGTTCATCAAGAGCAATCAAGAGCATTTATAATGTGTTCACTGAAATCACTGTACTCTTATTCCTTGTGAATCCATGTTGTTTTGATGAGAGAATGTTATTCATAGAAAAAAAAAGAAATTAATTGATTTTTGATATTCAACTCAAAAACTTTTGATACACTGGAAAGCAAACTAATGCCCCTATAATTTTCATACAAATTTTTAACTGTATAGGTAATAATAATATGAACTAGCCATACATAATTTTATAAATGAATGGTTGCTGAACATTTGACACTGCCTTGTCAAAATATCCCAAACATTCTTCAGAATTGATCTTTCAGAAAGTAGTCGACAACGGTATGACAGACCGGGTTGGCACCGTATTTATAATTTTATGGAAACTAAGTAAGCCTCACAACATTGCAGAGTCAGTTTTACTGATTGTATAAGTATACTAATGGTTACAGCCAAATTCAGTCTATGAGCAGCTTTATTATCCAACAGTTACCAGTTTATTGGACAATACATTAAGAAAAACTTATAAACTATAACTTATAAACAAAAAGTACAAAATATATAAACTATAGATTTCGAATGAGAAATGATACGAAACCAAAAGAAAGATGTATCCTATAACATATTAACTTCGCTTGCTCGAGGAAATCCACCATAATATTCGCCAATTTGTAATTAAAAATACAAGCTGAATAGCTCCTTCGTTATTCTGAAGTCATTAGACCCAATGCCTTATATATCTTAGTGAACTATGATCTGTCAAACTCAATTTACTGTCGAATACCACACTTGTCTCTGATTGAGTTATGGGGCTCTAAAGTAACTTCTGATACTGTGTATGAAAATTTATATTTTTTTTCTAGGTGAAGCTCATTAATTTGCATTTTTCGATATTCAGATTCAATTTATTAGTGGCTCACCATACCTGCAGCAAGTCTTTTTATAACTGAAGTTCAGTACAGTGCTGCATGTTACCCAACACTTACTCTCCAAACTTTCAACATATCTGTGTCAAAGCTATTTTCCGTGTTTTTGGCAGTGGTTTGCAGGTTTTTATGTCTGGCGTTTTGTCTACTACTGCGGTAGACATTATGAAAGGCGATGCAATAACAGTCGACGTGCTCATATTGTGGGCGTGGCTTCGTTTCTATTAATTGAATAACCTTACCGTGTTTGTGTACAATTAAGGACAGATAGCCAAATTTTATTAATGTTCATTACCTTTTCTCTTCTATTGGAATTATTCCTGTGTTTTTGAATTTTTATTGCATTTGAAATGACAAATATTTTCCCAAATAAAGTTAAGAACTATTTTCAATAACCGTTCATGCCTTAAGAACATAATTCAGTTCAATTGTGCTGAAACAAAATATACTACGGTACATTTTATATTGTCTGACATGTTGGGAAGAATGATGCCACTACATTATTTCCACCAGTTAGTTTTTCATTGTAGAATTCAATTAAAATGTTAGGTGGAATGTATTGATTGAAAAGTTTCATACGTGTTCATTAAAATCATTTTCCCACATGGTAATACCCAGAAATATGCACGAAGGAAAAGTTCAGTTAATTGAATGAATAATTTAATTCCAAGTAAGAGTCTGGCGTAGCTCGTTTTTTTCTTCACTTTTAAAATAGTTACAACTACAAATTGAAAAAAATATGAAAAAGATCATCTCATGTATTCATTTTCAATGGAGTAATTCAGTGCAATCACACTTCCATGCATTATGTCTTCAATGGAGTCACAACCGAATGTGAATAAATATGCCATATATATTAATTCAAGGAAAATTCAACAAGCTGTTGAATTTAAAGTTATGAAGAACGATATCAATGAAAATTATGGGGAAGGAGTTGATAACACCAATAACATAATTACATTTGTAAATCGCTGGCATAGAATTGCAAGCCTGAATTTGAATTCATTTGACAATTGAATGCCCAGAAGTTTTTGAAAAAATTGGCTTTTTATAGTAACAATAAGAATTGCAGTACAAAATAAAAAAATTTCAATTATATCAATGCAGCCTGGCTTTAGAAAATTGCATAGGCTTAGCAAATCAAAATCAGGTTTTTATATGTATGTAATAATATATAATTTATCACTGCCAAACTAAATATGGATTGAAAGGGGTATACGTTTAGGAGAAAAATTTTGGCTTTCTACTTCTTCATCTTCATATTAAGAATGTGGGAATCTTCGAGAGGTTTTTTTTGTTCCACTTTGTGTCGTGAAAGTTACTTCTTTGCATGATCTACACATCTTTCTGAAGAGTTCATTTTGAAATTGATTGCTTTCTTCCTTTCTTTGCTAAGATTCTCACATTTTTTTTTGTATAAAGATAGGGAAGTAGAAAGGCAAAACTTTTTTTTCCCATAAATATAGATAATATAAGAACATGGCTTTCACGGCCTGAGTCACGATTAGAGAGAACAAAATCATCTGGGCCAGTGCTTGTGGTACCAAACATTTCATCTGCTACTGCGGTAGATATCTTCAGTGATATATGCGTTTATTACTACAATACAAAGCTAGTATCTCGAAAAACTAGCAACAACTGACTGGAGAGCTTTGTGCTCACTCAGATTTATACTAGTAGGGAGTGGTGAGAATGATCAGTCCATGGGAATGATGACTTCCTGATTTATCCGCACTTATGCTAGGTTGTTCTAATTGGTTTACGTTCTGGAGTTTTAATTTAGTCTCTAGTCCATTTCTAGCCTTTTTGAATATTGCATTGTTGGGATTCTTATAGATTTCAATGGCTTTCTGGTGGAGTCATGTGTGGTATTGACAGGACGACAGCTCCATCGTATTCTATAACTTGGTTTCTCTGCTAAGAATTCTGGTTGCATAAGCAGGCTGCTTTGCTGGTGTTTTTGTATCCTAGTATTGATGCTGCATTTGGTAGTACGTATCAATGTAAACTAAAGCACAGGAACAGATAATCCTGCAAACGCCGGCGCACGACAGCGGCTTTTTTTTTTTTTTCGAGTAGTTGATCAGTTGGCTTATAAATCTATTTAAAACAAATCTGTTTTTCCGTTAACCAGCTGTCGCACCCCTACGAACGACAACCCCTAGAAGTCGAAACTTGTGCGAGCTAAGGATTAACGAGGTCTTATCTTTTAACGTATGGTTCCTTTATATTCTGAAGTTTGAACAGATTTACAATGTACCGTGACTTTTTGTATATAAAGCAAGTACACCGTGCCTACCACAAGTGACTCCATCCTACTCGAAGGTGGAGTATTTCTTCTAGGAGGTAGGGCACGTTTTATTCTTTGCACTGCAAATCTATCAGCCTATACTGCATGGTCATGGCAACAAAGTTTTTCTTCACGAAGATATGGCTCATAATTCTTAGTGGCACAGTCAACAAGGGTTTTCATCAAGAGGTACGTTTTTATCCTACTATAATGAAAACCCTTGTTGAAGGGGTGTTGTCAATATTTGTGAACCACATCTTCCTAAAGAAGAATTTCGTCATCTAGGTCTCTATAGGTCAAAGGATTACCAATGCATATATTAAAAAACTCTGAAAAACGGCAAATCACAATTATTTATGTTCCATCTGTTTATTTGAAGTTTTTATTTTATACATTTGTGAATCATACCTTTCAAACTATGTATTGAACTGTTTCACACTCAATATTGAATAATTTTTTGTATGTATTTTCAGGTAAGAATAATGAAAATGTTAGACCATCCCAACATAGTAAAATTATTTCAAGTAATCGAAACGGAAAAAACGTTGTACCTGGTTATGGAATATGCCTCGGGCGGCGAGGTATTTGACTATCTTGTCCTGCACGGTAGGATGAAAGAAAAAGAAGCAAGGGCGAAGTTTAGGCAAATTGTCTCTGCGGTACAGTACTGCCACCAAAAAAGGATTATTCACAGGTTTGTTACCAAAGTATATCCAAAGTAATTTGAATATTAATAGAGCTAATAAGTAAATAAAATAATGTATGCTGGTTTATATTTTTCAAAAGTTACATTTGGAACAGTGTTTGAGTATATTTATGGATTTTGGTTTAAATACTTATCAAAACATTTGATAGGTACTTTGGCATCGAATTTCATTTCAAGGAATCATCAAGTAATTATTTTTTCCAACTTTCCAATATTATCTCATATTCATTCCAATGAGAGACTGAAATTCCCTCAGTAAAATCATAACAAGGTAGGTTAACTTCAGAACAACAATAAAGTGCAAACAAATAACGAAAACAAACATTTAAAAGTTGATGATTGAGGTTATTGCTCATTACTCAAGGGCCAACTGAAAAGTTCATCCCAAAAAGTTACTGCGTAATATAAATCACTGAAGAGTCCAAGAATCCAAGTCCAACTTGTCTTATTTATATTATACATTTTGCTACAAATTAAAAAAAAAGAAAAAAATTTTATTTTCATACTTAGCTTTCGGAAAACAATATTTTTCAGTTATCAAAAACCATAATTCACTTTTAGAACTTTCTCCTTGAATTGTAAATAGCTTTAATTCTTTTGACCACTAAAGTAAGCTTAAAACTTTCTCCTTGAATTGTAAATAGCTTTAATTCTTTTGTAGCACTAGAGACACAAGTGTTGGACAATAATTCAATGTATATATTATTAGTGTAACCTTGTCTAGCTTTCATGTATTCAGTTAATCCTTCTTTTTCAGAGATTTAAAGGCTGAAAACTTACTGTTGGATAGTGAAATGAACATTAAAATAGCAGATTTTGGCTTCTCCAACGAATTTACCCCAGGAAACAAATTAGATACATTTTGTGGTAGTCCGCCATATGCAGCACCAGAGTTATTTCAAGTAAGTATCATTTCCAAATTTCGAAATATTGATTTTTATTTGGAAAGAAAGGTGAAGAAAAACGCAGTTTATGAAAAATAAAAACAGGCCCACAAATGAAAATATTACAAAAAATGTTCCTTAAAATCATTGTACTATTACTTCAGCATAAAACGTTGTATGTGAAAATTGACCACTTTACAGCAGAGCATAAAAATTGATAGTTTCATGATTTATGAGTACAGCTCCATATTTAATTCCCATCTGATGTTTCTATGGAATAAAATATGAAATTATATTGATATTTATCCCTTTATGCATTAAAGCCATGAAACGTTAAAGGCTAGGCACGTTTTTCAGAGTTTTACAACAATTAATGGAATAGAACTTTATTGCGCCCATAAAAAATACAAAGAATTTGGACAAGTCACCTATTACATTGCACCGTTACATAAAAAAGCTGTAAATGAAACAATAAAATTAAATGTAGAGTATAAAATGCATTTTAAAAATTCTTAAAGTATAAAGAAACAGGAATAAAAAGTGGAAAAGATGCACTAGGTATCACCAAGCGAATCCTTAAGAGTAACATTGAACTCACTCAGAGTATACAGGCTCATTTTAGTGAGAAGTTTTTCACTGTATTTCTGAAAAGTCTGAGTGGCAGATGTTTGATTTTTTCAGGAAGTAAATTGAAGCAAGTGATGCCAATTGATTTGCTTTTATCCAATCTTCTTAAGAGGGGCACAATAATATTTCCATTGCGTGTTTTGTAGGAGTGAATATCCGAGTGTGGTGTGAGTGTGTGATAATTTTCTTTGACATGCAGAACATTGTCAACGATAATTTGTGAGAATAGCGTCATGATTCCTGTAGTCTCAAACAAAGGCTTACAGTGTTCATTATATTCAGCTTTAACAATGCTACGTACAGCAGCTTTTTGCAAGACAAATACTCTTTGAAGATGGGTGTAGCTTGCATAACCCCAGCACAGCAACCCATAACTCATTGCTGAGTGGAACAAGGCGTAGTATGTCATTAGAGCTGCTTTCTGACCAGCCGTTGTAGCTATTCACCTAATGGCATAAACAGATTTTGCTAGTTTGTTGCAAAGATTACTGATGTGGGTGGTCCAGGCAAGAGACGAGTCAAGATGAACTCCCAAAAATTTTATACTTTCTGATGTAGAAATGGCATCAGTGCGATAGTTTGAAAATACACAAATTTCTGTTTTTGTTTCATTCATATACAGTTCATTAGAGTCAAACCACTGTTGAGCAGAAGCAGAAATATTTGTCGACATGTTATCAACATCACGGGTTCTATCTATATGTACAGAAAATGACGTGTCGTCAGCGTATAATATTGTCAGTAATTCTAGTTTGAGATGCATAAATTAGGAACAGGAAAGGCCTCTGTATGGATCCTTGTGGGACTCCCCTTTTGATAATACGTTTTTGACTTATCATATTGTTATTGTTAACTCTTTGTGTTCTGTTAGCTAAATATGATTGAATTATTTTATTGGGAATTCCTCTTATGCCATACCATTCTAATTTCTCCAACAGTTTATCATGACTGACACAATCGAAAGCCTTCGACAAATCTGTGAAGATAGTTAAACAGGATTGTTAATTTTCAAAAGCTTCAATAATGTTATTAGCTAATTTGTTTATAGCGTCTATTGCACTTTTACCTTTCCTAAACCCAAACTGATAATTATGTAAGAAATTTTTGCTTTCCGTGTAGTTACTAAACTGTATTAAAATAGCTTTTTCCATTACTTTGGATAGGGTGGGCAATATGTGAATTTGTCTGTAATTCTCAGGTAATTTTTCATCTCCCTTCTTGAATATAGCTAGAACTTCGGCTGGTTTGAACACTGATGGAAAAAAACCATCAGAAAGAAATTTATTTATTATGATGGTAAGTGGTTCAACGATTAGCGATGCGCATTGTTTGAGCAAATAAGTGCTGATACCATATACATCTTGCGTCTTTCTTGTTTTCAAACTCTTAATAATGATGATAATTTCCTCTTCGATGAAGGGGCGTAGGTAAAAGGATTTAAATGATGTACAGGAGTTGAGAGTAATTGGAACATTTTTGGGTGTCGCAATATTATTAACAATACTCTCCGCAAAGTAAAGAATTCATTAAAAAGATCCACATCACATTCATAAACAGATGATCATCGAACACGTCATTGCCTCTTTCAGAGTTTATAATTTTCCAGATTGTTATTTTTATTGCTGGAGAGGAATATTTGATTCGAGTAATAATTTTGTTTTGCTTCAAGCAGCATTCCATTGTATTTTTTTTACTCAGCTCGTATTGCAATTTATTGAAATCGCTAGGAGATTTTTTACTCATGTCATATGCTAATTGAACATTTAGTTTTTGCTGTTCGAAGGCATTATTTCTCCAATAATCGACATTATGGGTTTTTTTCAGTGATCTTGATTCAATGATAGAAAAAGAATTGTCAAAATGTGTCATGAATATTTCGTGGAATTTTAGCGCCATTTCCTCAGATGTCGATTTACTATACTCGTCAGACTATACACTAGTCCTGAGCTGGATGTACTATTCGATTACTTCATCACTTAGTTCACTTTTTTCTGAAAGATCTTTGGTTTTCTCGATGAATTTTTGTGAATTAACGACACTCAAATGAGATTGCAGATATGATAGGGTTTCAAACTGTATTATTCGCCATTTGGGCGATCCCATACATAGGGGACCTACAGCTGATGATGATACTAACTTGGTATTACCAAATATTAATAATATATTTTAGTTGTTCGATTGATAACCTATTCATTTTGTAGAAATTCATATTGAATATGGAATAAAGACAATAATTTTGTCTAATTTCTACTAGGTTTATTATTTGTTTCAACCGGTTTCGTTTTGTTACTTGAGAATGGTATAACCAACTGAAACCGGTCGTAACAGATAATAATAAACTTAGTAGAAATCAGACAAAAGTATTTTCTTTATTCTATAACTTTCAGCAACTCTCCAGAATATCAAGACTTCTTATTCCAAAATAATTTATTTTTTAGGGCAAAAAATATGATGGACCCGAGGTGGATGTCTGGTCATTAGGGGTTATATTATACACACTCGTCTCGGGCAGTTTACCATTCGATGGTTCAACATTACGAGAACTCAGGGAAAGAGTGCTTCGTGGCAAGTACCGGATACCGTTTTATATGAGCACAGACTGCGAAAATCTCCTGAAGAAGTTTCTGGTTCTGAATCCGGCCAAGAGGGCGAGTTTAGAGACCATCATGAAGGATAGATGGATGAACCAGGGGTATGTGGGGTTAGTCGTGTTACATTTCATATGTGTTTTCGTGGAATAGTTGGTAGATTCGATGTTGATGTGGTTTTGTAGAATGCCCAAATATTTAACTGTTATTAATTGTTCCGCGAGGCTCTACAACTTCACTGCTTTTGATGGTCGTAGAGGTGTTGTAGATATCATACGAAAAAACTACACCATAATAACTCATAGATGTTCGTTTAGTCACGATGTTTCTGAGCACGTTTGTTTCTTGATACGGTGAAACTGATTCACTTGTTTTCGATTTTAGATGAAACTTCACAATGGCAACATTGGATAAAGTTTCAGACGCATCGGCGTTCTATTATTGCTACACCAAGACTGAAGAAACACTCAGAGCTTAAAACGTTTTGTGAATTAACATTATTCTTGTATGTGAATGAATGAATAAATTGTGATATTGAGAAACAAACCTTATCTTATTATGCTGTAGTTCCCATACATGACAAAACTCAAAAATATAACACACATGAATGTAACAGAGTAAGTCTGAATGTATTATTCTCGCGCATTAAAATGCTTTCGATTGGATATTTCAGGTACGAGAACGACGAACTTAAACCCTATGTGGAACCCGAACAGGACATGACTGATCCCAAAAGGATAGAAGCTCTAGTTTGTTTAGGTTTCAATAGGTACGATGTCGAAAACTCCTTAGATTCACAGAAATATGACGATGCATTCGCTACGTACTTGCTGTTAGGAAGGAAAAGCACAGATGTGAGTATTGTCTTTTATTGTATCTTTCACAGGGAACATGCAGTGCATTTCTTTAATGTCTCCCCATTTCATTTTTTGAAAGGGTCAACTCAAAAAATTGAAATTTGGGATAATGAAATTAATGCATGAATACTTTATTTTGAAGTGTAATTGACAGATGAAACTTTCAAGATGGCGACTGGGCGCCATCTGGGAATAAACATTAAATGGAAATGGGGGGCCTTGTGACACATCATTTTGAAGCTCCTGACGAATACTTCACAACTCTATAATATGAAGTCAATATCTTCACCTACTACAAAATGGTGGAACATTTAATAATTTCCTGAAGACAAACACATTAATATCGATATTTCTCGAAATATTCCTTTTTATCTGCCATATGGCAATTCCAACAACCCAATAAGGTTTGTTAAGTTATTTTTTTTTCTTTATAAAAACAACAAAAAATGTCAGTAGGACAAGAACATCATTGTTCAGTTAGAATATTCTCATTTAGTTTTCGGTTTTACTAGAAGAAAGGTACCATGTCAACAATCTCTAAAATGGTCAATTCTCGGTGCGACGCGTAACTTTCATGAGACCAAAAGGATTTTCAATGAACGTTTTCCGAATCGGCCTATCTGTAGAAAATATTTAAGGGAACTTGTATCCAAATTCACAACTACTGTTAGTGTACATACATGTACATAACAAAATATACAAAATAAATGGAGTTGAAAACCTGTCACATAAAATTTTTTTTTTAATGAAAGATTAATCCACAACAAATATTCGAGTTTGTATTCTGAAAACAAATAGATTGAGTTTTCTTATGATCAGGAAGACAGTTCAAACGTGTACAGTAGACCTGTGGTAATCCGACAAAGGTTTTGTAGGGCGATGTTGGATTATCGAATTTGTTGGATTAAAGAGTACTGTCTAAGACCCTTTATAGTTAGGTATTTTTTGAATAAGAGTAACTTTCAATCCGACAAGTTGTACGTCGAGAAAAATAGTACAAGTTAACGATGTATGTACAATCAACAGTACGTGTACTGATACAATGGGCGCCGGATTAAACAGGGACTGGATCACCGCGGGTTCACTGTATTATATTTATGAATTTGAAATTGAAAGTTCCAATTGCTTTTTTGACATCTAATGTGTATGGGATTTTTGTCTGCTATTTTACATATAATGAATATGAGGCTGTCTTCTCTTTCACTTATTTTATTTGATATATCACAAAACCACAACTTGGGGCAATTACTTTATCTGTCGATACTTTCAGCCGGAAAGTGATGGAAGTCGAAGCGGAAGTAGCTTATCGCTAAGAAATATGACAGGCCAACAGCAAGCTACTCCTCAACCAGCTGTACAGAGTCCTCAACATCGAGGAGTGCATCGTTCAATTTCTGCCACCCACACGAAACCTAATAGAAGAGCGTCTAGCGGAGGTGAGTTTATTGTTGTTTGACAGTGAAGTTTGTGTAACTGATTGGCTTCCTTCTCTTTTCCTTCCAGGTGGCACCATAGGTAGGTAGATGTTTCCTTGTGCATAAAGGTTTCAAATAACCATGGAACAAGACTCCAGTGGTGTAAAAAATCTGCCTTGTATATAGGCTTTTTATGTTGTTTTTCTTTGTTTTTCATATACACTAATTTTCACCTGTCGCTTGTCAAACAGTATTGTTAAACAGGTCAGACTGTATTTTTTGTCACATTTTATCTGAGAAATCTTCAAATTTTCTTCAGGAGAAACTCTAAGGACGGGGCCCCAACCTCAAGTACCTGTTTCACAAAGTAATAATCACCAGTCAGGATTTAAAAGACAAAATACGGTTGATAGTGCTACTATTAAGGAAAATAGTGCCAGACTTAATGCTAGACCTGCCAGTGCTCAACCCAAACCCGCAGCAGATAACAGTAAGTGGATTACAACACAAACCTCTGTTGTATGCCTGAATTCATTTTCTACAATTTATGCCTCAGTCAAGGTATATGTAATATTCATACATCATTCAAATTCAGAAAACTACTGGAAAATAATTCAAACCAGTTATATTTGTTAAAACTTTTACACTTCATGATATAAACTATCTTTTCGAAAATATCTTTATGGCTTTGATTATAGTCAATATATAAATACTGAGATATGTTTACGAGAGTTTATAATTTTGAATTCTCAAATATGTATTGTTTTTGTTCTCAGAAACAGACTGATTTTTTTTCAAGAAAATTTAAATTTGATTCCACACAATCATGGAATATAAATAAACTTGAAAACTATAAGTGAAATTCAAATGGTTTGTCAAAATGATCTATTGTGGTAATAATATTGATACAAGGATTTTAAGATTTATTAAAAACATTAATAATAGAATTAAAGTATGAATTACTCTTCAGAATAATCAATAATTGGGGTATTTACGAATTTGAAAGATTGTTTTCATAACATTATATTGTAATATAATGAATGCTTTTGTCTATACAACTTAAGAATTGTGAACCTACTTGTTGCAATGTGTTTACCCCAATTCTTCCTAATTCCTTCCTTTTGTCGTTCATCTAGTGTCTATTGTCCATTTTTTGTTTTTTGTCATATCAGGTATACAAGCTCCAACTAAAGCTCGAACTGCATCTAAGAACACTGCATTATCTTTAGGAACAACAGTTGGTCGACGGTCAACCATCAGTTACGACGGAAAATCCGACAGCACGGAGAAAACTAACTTACCTGCGGATGTACCAGGGTGAGTTGAAAGAAATTCTATAAAAGATGGTTAAAACTACATACCCTTTTTGAATCTAATGTAAGTTTTTTCCTCTCCTACATTGTGATTGGGAAGACTTTTAAGTCAATAATAGAATGGAGTATATACAAATTTACAGCAAATAATCAACACGGGAACACTTGTTTTAGATGATTTTCTCTTTCCTTTCCTCTTTCCGAAAGAATCATTTATCGATGACCCTCACATTTTCCAAAACAATTTGACTTTCTTCCTTTCATTAAAAATTCCATATCCTTTTATTGAATTTGTTAAGTTGAAAACTAAATAAGTTCAAAACATGAATCTACAAAAGATTCTGTTATAATTAAACTTTCTGTGGCATAGCTGTATCCACAATAAATTTTTAAAAATGTCTGATTCAAATTTTTCAATTGAAAAATAATATTTTGGGTGAAAAATATCAGTGAATTTTCCTTCTTTGCATAGTACCTATTTATATTTTTCTTTTAATTTTTCATCGATAAGTTGAAGAATGTTATTGATTTTGAGTTTCCTGTTTTTTTTTTCAATTTTGCAATTAGTTTCTGCTGTTTTTAATGTAATAAATATTCTAAAGTATTCCCGTAGAATCATAGGTAGAGCATATACATCTTGAAAAGTTGTCCCTTTTTTAAAAATCGTATCTCATTAATTTTATGTTTAACAGTTTTTTCCAAACTATCTTTCAATAATATATTAAAGTTTTACAGGAGATTACACTTGATGTTGCTAAGGAGGATCAGTTCCAAATGAAACACAAAAATGATTTGAAGTTTGTCTTCAATGAACTTATAAGTAATGGCTTCAAATCAGAATATACTTGGACTGTTGAAAAAATAAAGGTGAATGTTGAAATTCAGCAGGCTACTTACATTCAATTACCGATTTTTTTAAATAGGTACACTCGTCTCGAACATATTTTCACAGTTTCAGCTAGCTAGGTTAGGTTAGTTTCAAAGTGAGTGGGACTATTCGACCCTCCACCGCAAACCGCAAGGGGTTATTGTGGCTCACACCTATTAACAGTCGACCAAATAAACCTAGCTTCTTAACGAAGCCGATTAGTTTTTATGGTGAGTGGTCTTTCACGTCAGATGGTAAGGGTACGGCTCTGCCGAACTCTAAAAACCTGATTCGGTCCCCAGCGGGGGGTAGGCACACAGTATGTGCTCTGCTGGTTCCTCATTTTCCAAACAGATGCGACACACACTGTCTTCCGACAATCCGAGTCTCTGCATATGATGATTCAAATGATAGTGACCTGTAAACAAGGACTGTTAGACATTGTAGTTCATCCCTACTGTAGTCCAACAACCGTTTGGTATCAAGCTTCAAAGGGTGAATAAATGCCAATCCTGGAAGATTCTACCAGAAGTCCATAAATCTTCTTGCCATCCAGGTGTTCAATTTGGCAAAGCCTAAAGCGATGTCAATGACAAGTTCTGGTCCGATGAAGCTGCTTGCAGAACCATCCTTTGCAAGGGATGGTAAATCTGTTAAGTCTTCCTATTGAGGAGTCAATTTTGGCCGAAAACAACACCCTAATCATGCCTCAGCCACCGTATTCACCAATCACCAGTCACAAAAGTCAACTATGACTTTTTCTGGTTCCCGAGATAGAAAGGACGGTGTTTTGCAACCATGACAGTGATAAAAACGAATCGCAGAGTGCATAAAGTGCATATCAAAACTGCTTCAAAAAACGCTGGCACAAGTACATTATATCTGAGGGGGACTACTTTGAAGAGGACAAAATAGAAATTGATGAATAAATAAATATTTTTTGAGAAAAATGAAAATTAACCTCATAAGTGTTTTAGTAAAACAAAATTAGGTACTTGTGATAATTAAGATATTATATAAATTATTCAGGATGGTATTGCTATAACTAGATACAGAAGTGTTCGAATTGATGAAGCTCAAAAGGTTTCGTAAACACTATAGATCCATACAGTCAATAATTGATGATTCAAATTCTATAAATTATCAAATGAGCCACAAATTAACACAACAATAAAATTTTCTATGTCTGAATCATCAACAATGTAAATATCAAGAGTTGAAATCCAAATCAAGTGTAAACTCCTGTATGTCACACTAACATTTATTATGATTGGTTTAAAAATTGATGTGTAGAAGTTAGAGTAACGTTCGATCCCCTGTAACGAAAGTAAAATTGTCTTCTTTTGCTAACCGCATGTGCAGTCCTGAGGCGATTGGTGCCGGAGACGCTTTAAGGCCTGGAAAAGGTCACGTCAAATCCGCATCGGTCAGTAGTAGCGGCCCTGAAACTACTACTGATCCGTTACGTTCTAGGTAGGTTTCTGAGTGAAGATTTGGAGAACATACTTTTTTTATTTCAAATAATATTTTGAATCGATTGGCTATCTAGAATATGTAGGTAAAAAAATGTTCTTCTATATATTTCATTTTTTCAAAAAAAGTATTTCAATTTCAGGGAAATGTCAATTCATTGCCGTTATTACTGCTCCAAAAAAGTGTAGGTTGTTTCAAAAGTTTTTCGATTTTATGAGTCCATTTTAAACTGTTCTATCTCAGTGAATATTTATTCAATTTAATCAAAACAAACGCCATTTGAATCAGTACACTTTTGCCAACGTAACACAAGTCCATCAATTCCGTTAGCATGAAAATTGTGTGATCGGGATTCGATGAAGTCGACGAAGGTCGTTTTTGCCTGGGCCTGATTGTCAAAGGTTTTACCAGAGTACACATTTCTCTATGAATCTGTATATACCATAACACAGAAAAATAAATATTGTGATATGGAGCTATAAAAACATGATATTGAAACGTACAATACTTTTGAAACAACCTAAAACGGCAAGTATACCTTATGAAAAATTTTAAAATTTGTAATTACTTAAGAATCTGAATAAATTTTTTGGAAATATTCGTCAAGTTTATAATTGATTCATTTGTATATTACGTGATTTTGGAAAATGTATGTTTTTCTACACCTTCCTCCTCAGGTAGTAGGTTTTTATGTTTAGCATCATTAGTATAGTATTTTGTCCCTGTAATGAATATTTTGCCAACAAAACTTTTATAGTAGTAGATGATAACATTGCCTGTGTATCTAAAAAGAAGTTACGAAATGTGTTTTTTAGTATCTCTAATTAATGAGTATTTATGAAATATGAACATATTTAATCAAGAAGACACAGTTTTCCACTGTGTCTTCTTTGATTCCAAATTCAGTTTCCACAAAATTGAATCTATACAGTTGTGATGTATTGTTTATGGGTTTTCAGTCAACAGAATCTACTAGTTTCAGATGGGGCTCTTCATCTGAACTGTTTGTATTGTCACAACTCACATACTGAAGTATTAGGTTAGGTTAGGTTCAAAGTGGGTGGGTCTATTCAACCCTCCACCGCAACCCGCCAGGGGTTAAGTTCGGTCACACCTATTCTCACTCTACCAAATGAACCCAGATGGTAGGAGTACGGCTCTACCGAACTCTAAAAACTTGACCTGGTCCCCAGTCCGGCAGGCACAAAGTATGTGCTCTGCTGTTTCATCATTTTCCAAACAGAGGCGACATACACTGTCTTCCGACAGTCCGAACCTCTGATGATGATTCAAATGACAGTAACCTGTAAGGAGGCTTGTTAGACATCGTAGTTCATCCCTACTGTAGTCTAACAACTGTTTGGTGTCAATCTTTGAAGGGCGAATAAACGCCTTGGAGTGAGCCAATCCTGGAAGATTCTGCCAGAAGTCCATAAATCTTCTTGCCATCCAGGTGTTCAATCTTTGTTTGGCAAAGCCTAAAGCGATGCCAATGACAAGTTCTGGTCCGATGAAGCTACTTGCAGCACCCTTTTTTGCAAGGGGGCCAGCAGCCTCATTGCCTTCCAGCCCAGTATGGTCAGGAACACAAACCACTTACTCTATAGACGCTTCACGGCAATGGTATTGGTCGAAGATGCTTTTGTAGTTCGTTGTTCCCACCTGTAGAGGTCGCAGCAATAATTTGTGAAATTATGAGCATGCTTAGTTGACGACAATGCTGTCAGCTGGCAATGATTTTCAGCTCCCTCTATAACTTAGAATCGGAACTAAACAAATAAGCGGGAAACTTAAACGCAACCATTGAAACTTTTCCTAGAGATCAATTACCCTAACACCAAACTGATATTTTCTGCACTCGACGTACGTTTCGCTAACAAGATTGGCATCTTCAGGTGAAGAAAATTGATACAGTATCAATTGATAGATGAAGATGCTAACCTTGTTAGCGAAACATGCATCGAATACAAAAAATATGTTTGGTGTTAGGGTAATTGATATCTAGGAAAAGTTTCAACTGTTCAGCAAAGGTTTCAATCTCATAGTTTATTAGCTCAACCATTGTTTACTTTGAAAGTGTTACATATAAATGTTCTAATTTGCTATTGAAATCAAAATAAAGTCATTACTATGGTTGATTCCAATACCAAGATAGAAATAATATTCATATGTAACAGCTCATGCAATAATGAATTTTTCAAGGTGGGAGTGAAACATAATTCGCATATGAAGGGTAAATAATTGTAATGTTATAAAGTTTGGCATAGTAAACAAAACAGGTTAATCAAATAAAACAATAATATAATATCAAGCACCTAAACTATTATTACATGTGGTGGCTTTTTCAGTTTTTTTTATTCTATTTAAATGGATTTTATTTGCCTGGATCTTAACTGAATTAGTACCAGTATAGGGTATGGATTTTCCTTGCATGGTTTTATTCACACTTTTACAGAAATTGTGCAATATGGTTCTAATTGCAATTCTCAAAATCAAATCAATTACGCTTAATTTATGTTGATTTTTACATGTTAAAAATTCAAAATCAACTTGTGCATTAACAATTTGTTTTATTAAATAAACCAATATTCTTGAATGTGGTTGTCTATCAAAACAAAAGTGTATAATTTTATAAATATCATAAAAAGATGAAACAAATGATGGTGTTGGGTAACAAAGCCTTCTAGCCCAGCCACCACCATATTCTTTAATAGAGATGAGTCTATTTGCATCAGATTCATAATTGGTTGAAAACATTGTGTTTTTGAAATTTGAACATATTATACTCTTCCTGATTCTTTTCAAAATGAAGCCAGCTACATAACTAGTGGACAACTCATTAAACTTTCCAGATAGAGTGCTATTCTGAAGTGTTATATCTGCATATTGTATAGCTTCAGTAATATTACAGTCAGCATTACGTTCACAAAACACTACCTTCAAAGAATTAAACAAGTTTTCACATTTGTCATCTCCACAATTGAATGAATTTCTGTAAAATGAAAGGGCTGTATCAAAAAGCACAGTTTTATGAATGCTTGTGAATTGGGAAGCTGAAGGATTGGTGTATAAGGCCCCAAAGCTTCTTAATTGACCAAACATATTTTCAAGCGGATCCTGGTTCAGCCGTCTTGTTAACAAATAATCAAAACCATTGGAATTCAGAACCTGCCAAATATTCTTCACATTTTTTATGACAAATGACCAATTCTTCAGACTGAGAGGCCTTTTTTGATCATGGCTGAAGAAGTTGACGGCTCTTCTGAATCGAATAGATCTATTTCATCTGAAAATAAACTAGTAGGCAAACTTATTAAAAACTGCTTAGATGAAGGTTCAAAATAATTGTGGCAATGAAATATACAAATTGAAATTCTTACGCATCTCAGAAGTCACGCTAATTTGAGGATTGAGATGTCAGAACTGACTGTTAATGATGAGAAGAATAGTTTGACCTGAATTGTTTCATTATTTGGACGTTCAAGAATTGAATGGAAATGTTCCTCTTACCTCTCAAATATAATGTAGGCAAAGCCATTGGTTGAAGTCTACTCGACATCGATGAATGGTATTTAGCCTCGAAATGTTTATGACAAACTCTTTTAGAGCGATACACCATTACTGGGTCCTATTCATTGATATCCCCATCATTGATAGAGTGCACCCATATTCTGAATTGTTCTAGATATTTTCCAGGATTTGGAAATTTATGTAGCGGTGCAGATGCTGAACACTTTGAAATGCAGCTTTTCTTACACGACATAGTTGAAAACGAAGTTCACTAAGAATAATGAAAAAATATTAAATGTAAGAATGTAATAACACTGTATAGATATGTTTATATGAGATTCAAACTAACTGATCGAAGAACACTAATAAAAATAATACGTATCAAATTCCTTTCAAAGGAAAAATGTCAACAATCGACATAACCTATTATAATCTCTGCAGAGACCACAAACCACTTTAAGTAGTTTGTGGCAGAGACCCCTACAGGTGAGCACAACAAACTACAGAAGCGACTGTGGCCTTGATCATTTGCGTGAAACGTCTATAGAGTAAGTAGTTTGTGGTCAGGAATCCAGAGCAGAGACAATCTGTTAAGTCTTCCTATCGAGGAGAGTCGTTTTTGGCAGTATACTGAAGTATTACTTCCTTTATAGTTTGATAAACGGGATCAAGTTGTACTGATTCCACATCACCAATAGACTCATCAGATTCGCCTGATTGAAAGAAACTAATGTACAATTGTTTCTTATAATTATTACAGAATTTACCGGCAACATGAGAAGGATCTGCAGTACTTGTATATCCACTCGGTACTGTGTAGCATTTTTGTGAAACCTCAATTTGCATTTCAATCTCTTTCTTGAAGACGATTCACACTCACTTCCACTCTCAACACTGCTTCCTGGAAAATATTCTTCAGACAAGTCATCTGCAGCACATGGATCATCCTCTTCATCTGACATTTTTTGTATTTTCTCTAGAGTCTAGACCTTCACCGTAACCAATTTTAGCGAGCTTTATGAAGAACGAATGAAGACTGAGTGACGCAAATTACTCACTGAAGATCACATTCAAGGGCATAGACTTGACCAGCCCTTATATCTTCGGGGCAAAGTATTTGTGCCATGCAGCACAGAGCGACAAAAAAACGTGGTTTGGGTTTTACAATTATTGTGGCAGCTAACGTGTTAACCGATCAAAATGAATAAAAATCGGTGATCATACTTCATATTCAGCCTATTCTGCTTTCCTATATTAGAAATGTTCATATCCATGTGCAGTTAACTTTTTTATTGACATAAAAGAGTTATTTTTTCATCAAACGTTTGTAAATTCAAAAAATTTGCACATTTCGTTATTTTCTTGTCAATTGCCTGTACATGCAATCCATTTATTCGTACTCTAACTCGACTTCTTCCATCGCAGTCGCACGACCGCCTCGCCGGCAGCCACAAGACAGCAGGCTTTCCCCAGAAACACGTCGTCAAGAAGTACCTTCCACTCTGGTCAGACGAGACCTAGGGCCACATATGCGCAGGGCTCCCCAGGAGATTCACCGCACACTAGACCATCATTTTTTGCCAAATTCAGCCTCAAAGGATTTACAAAAAGGTGAGTGATTTTAGTGAAAGATTATTTTTAGGTGAATAGTGTAAAAGTTGTTCTGAAATGGGATGGTCTGAAACTTGTATTATCAGCCATTAAAATGAAAATCACTGGGGCCTTTTGTTGGGAAACTCATGTTTTTATAACAAAAAGTTACTGCAGTTTCGATAGTCAAAATATTGGAATAACTTATGATATTTCTTGAAACTCGACAATAAATAGTCCACTCAAGATTGAGACCCAAAAAGAGATTCAATAGTTATAAATTTCGGAGTTATTTTTGATATGTTCAAAAAATGTAATTCTTTGTAAAAAGTTCTGTCATCACAAAATTTAAAACACAAACATAAGGAGAATCTCTTATCAAACAGAGACAGACAATTATATGAAGTTGGCTCGAGAGTAAAATAGCTTTATCTTTGAAGATACAATCTTTGATAAAAGTTTTCTACATTTCTTCTGATAACTTCATAGGTGAATCAACAGAAGTCATTCAATTTACTATTTAAAAATTACTGCAATGTGAGTGAGTCTATTCGACCCTCCACTGCAATCCACGAGGTTTTATTATGACTGAAACCTATTTAAACTCGAGGCAAGCACAAGCACGAGGCAAGCTGTTACATCATTTTTCAATCATAGATGATATGCAGTGTCTTCTGGCAGTCCAAGTCTTGGACGTTAGTGGGTTCTGTTAGCGTGAGCGGTTCTTTTAATCATTCAGTCGACCGCTATGTGGAATGGGGGTTCAGGCCCTACAGCCAAACGATCGATTTTCACTGCGTATTATCCAACTTGTGCTAGGAATCACTATCACTATTAAAAAAGTAAGACCTCGTTAATAATTACCTCGCACAAGTTTCGACTTTTCTGGGTTGTTTGGGGACATACATTGAAGAATGTATAAATGCCTTGGAATGAGCCTCTCCTGGTAGACTTTGCCCGGAGTCTGAAACTCTTTTTATAGTCCAGGCATTCAGGGCTGGTTTGGTAAAGCCTAAAACGATGCCAGTGACAGTTTCTGCTGTGATGAAACTGCTTGCAACGCCCTCTCTTGCAAATAAGCAGCTTCATTACCTATCAGGCCAGTGTGGCCATAAATCCAGACCAAAGATAATTTGTTGAGTCTTCCTATTGAAGATACTTTTTTTGGCAGTTCACTACCAACTTGAACGTTGCTTGGTGACGTCTGAGTGCTTCCAAAGCCATTTGACTGTTCAAAAATATTTTTATTGATTAATGTGTTGGCTTGGTTATTGCCAGTCTCTCCACACACAAATCAGTGGCATAGATTTCTGCTTGGATGTTCGCATAAGCCCCCAGGCAAGTTGATATGTATTTTCTGGGTCTGACTGTATACACCGGGATCAGAACCTGAAGGAGAATCCATTCGCATCTAATCTGGTCCAGGACATAAGGCTGGTCGAAGTTGATAGTTGGAGGCACTGAGTTGGAGGTCATTGCCAGAATGCTGTGACATTTAGTATCAGCCAGTAGTCTGCTATGCTCAGTATGCAATTTGCAATACGCATGATTCTGTATGATTTCCAACTAGCGTCTCTTCCCAGAAAGCTATGTAGAGGAGGTTAGCTAACCCTGTGGTGCTGATAGCACCGAAGATAGCCATGCAAGCCTCTACCATCGAGCCAGAACCGTTTACTGTGAAGGTTTTGGTCACCAGGAAATTGCTCCTTACGTAATCATTGGTCTGACAGTGAGTCAAGAAAGTTTTTTATCAAGAATAATTTTTAGATATTTCACCTCCGCTGCAAATAGAAAAACATTATCATTGAATGAAAGTGTTGCATCCACTCTGTGGAGCAGATTTGGCACCAAATATAGAAAGAGAATGGAATAGAAGAAACATATTTATTCATCTGTTGAAGCAGTACAAAATATGTAACAAGTCATAATACACTGATGTACCTACTTTATTAGACTAGTCATATATACAGATCTAAATGAGTAATAGGTATTAAACATTTGAATTTAAATTCAACAACACATTTAAAATAGTTAAAATAGTTAATAGTTCGTTTAAAACAAAAATGTGAAGATTTTTCAACTGCAGATTTGATATAAAAGAGATTTGAAACATTTTGTGTCTTCAACATTTTTTTTGGTCAACTACTATGTTTTCATGTGTTTATAACATAGGATGCCTTTATGCATAAGGAAATTTTGGCCAATGGTTAGCCTTGAGATTGGTTAGTGTAAGTTTTCTGCTCCTGGCTCTTTGTAATTATGATGAGAACTGTTTAGTAGTTAGACATATTTAAAATGGCGGCACTGTTGGAATAAATAATTCAACAAATATTTGGCTGCATGACGATCTTTAGTTGACACCTTTGATGCATCTGACGAATTATTTTTGTGATGAATATTTGGTCAATATGACTGGAGCCTCCCAGAATATCAAGCCATATGACATATTCGACTGTACCAAACCATAGTAGTAGACCAACATTAATATGTCCCTAGATAAAGTATCCTTCAATTCCCTCAGTACAAAGCAATTTTCACTCAGTTCATCATTTAATATTTTGATATGACTTTCCTAGCTCATTTTGTGATCGAAAGTGACACCTAAGAATTTAGTTGGTGACCTGTTCTATACTTTTATTAAAGAGAATTAATGAGTAGTATTTTTCGAAATGAAATATATGAAATTTTTTCTATATTGACACCCATTAGTAGTAAACCACTCATAAAATTGTTGTGCAAGATTGTTGGCAGGTTGTTTCTGTCAGATATTATCATTGTTGTGTCATCTGCATACATAATATTTTTTGCTTGTGTGCATGATAAATAAATGTCATTGACAAAGATAGTGAACAACAGTATTGGACCTAGTATTGATCCTTGAGGTACCCCGACATTGACAATTTTTCATTCGGATTTCGCATTTTCCAACATGACTATTTGTTTGCGATCTTTAAGATGTGTTATTCTCCAATTTAGTGATGTTCCTCTGAAAGTAATATGGTAAAGTTTTTCAAAAATGAGACAGTGGTTTACTGTGTCAAATGTTTTACTTAAATCAAAGAAGAGAGTGATCTAAGCATTCTTTGAGTTAATATGTTCATAAACATGCGTGCAATGGCAGAAGTTGTTATTATGTTGAAAGCCATGTTGGAAGGTACCTAGAAAATGTTAAGAACCAATGAAATTTGTTGAACTAATGTTAAATGCCAATATCTATGATTTTTGTAAGTTGATTTTGTGAGCAGATGTTTTTATAGTTATTTATATCTTCTTTTGATCCTTTATGTTCATATATTGGAATTGATTTAGAGGTCTTCAAGTTGTTAATATATTGTCCTGATGCAAATGAGTAATTGATTATATGAGCTAATGATACACCGATTAATTTGTTTGCTAAGTATAATACTTTGCCATTGATTTCATCAATACACAGTGATGGTTTGCTAGTGGTCTTACTAATTATCCATTAATCTCACATGGTGTTCTTGGATTAAGAAATAGGGTATGTTCCTGTATGGTGACATTGTTAATCTGCATTGGTCTGGCTTAGAATATCTTACATTATTGACAAAAAAGTCGCTCAACATGTTACATATTTCATTTTTATCAATTATCGTTTCTTTAGTCACCATAACTGATTTACTGTGTTTATATTTGATAAGTTCCTTTTTTCATTGATTATTTTCCAGCTCTCTTTTGTTATATTAGATGAATTTTCCAGTCTTGTATTATTGTATATATATTTCACTTGCCTCATATTTTCTGGAGAGATAGTTTTCAGGTTTCTGTATCGTTTTCTAATGATTTGATTAGTTGTTGTTTTTACAATAATTTCAATTTCACTCATCATTTTATGTAACTCCTTTATATCATTGTCATACCAATTTTTATTGGTTTTTATACTTATTTTCGAATTTTTTAACTTTAAATGGTAAATTGTTGTAGTTATATGAAAGTGTACTGAAAATTCCTCAAACATGACATTTACTCCTTGCCATTTGTTTGAAGGTGGTTGATAATATTTCATGGTGTATTTCATCAGTTTGGATGTCCATTGTCTAATATAATATAAATTGATTTCAAATCCCTGAAATAATTTAAAAAGATTGATCGAAAATAACAATTTTATTAAACAAAAAATTGAAACTACAAAGAAATAACAAAAACCAAAAAAATGAAAAATTGAAATATTAATAAAAGCTGAAAATCAAAAAATATTAACAAAGAATGAAAAATAAAAATTAAAAGATTCCAAACCAATTTACGTCATGACGATTCGATTGTTAGTATCTACAATCGTTTTCGGGCGATAACTGGACTTATTCCCCCCATGCCCCCTCCCGGGTTGAGTGTCCTGAAGTAGAAGCTTCCCCTCAGCTATTTAGCGAGAACCTACTACCCCACTCCATCCACCCCCGCTCTCCGAGCGGTCCTCAACTTGCTGATGGGCACTTCAGCAAAATTGACATCTGACCTCTTTTGGTCGAAAGTCAGCCTTTAGGTGCTTTTACTTTCTTATCGAATCGTTGTTTTATCTGACTATTCCTAACTGAATTTAAGCATGGGGGCCCCCAAAAACTAACCGGCGGCTTTGTGTTAATGCATCGAGCGTTTCTCAGTGCATCCAAGAAAAATTTTTAGAGTCGCGATCGCGGTCGAAGTGTTCTTCGCTGAACCTACCTGGAAGAGAGTGTATCTGGTTAGTGTTATACTTACCTAAGTCGCCTAACGGCGACTAACGGGGGCGCTCTGTTATTCTGTTTAGTCGGCCTGGGATGCTTGTCCCTCTGGACTTATTCCTCCGAGATCTGACTATTTATAGGTCATTCGAGTACTTTCATCTATCCCCTCATCCCTCTCTACGCTTCATTGGTTTTGGCGGGAGTTGGTCGTTTTTCGCTCGATTAGAGGTTTCCATATGTTACGTATCTTTACGTTAGCTTGACTAAATGCGTGGTTGTTAATTTTTTTCAGGGATTTCAAATCAATTCATACTCTATTAGACAATAGAAGATATATCT